TTTCAACGCGAAAAGAATCTTTAGAAGTAAAAATAGTTTGAATTGAAGCGAAAAATAAATTATAAAATGATAAACATAATCTATCATCTATCATTCAAATTTGAAGGTCGATTTTTCTCTCGTTTTTCATACCACCGTCTATTTGATGTGGATACGAAATTCGATAATAATACATATGAATCACTCTCCATCCGATATCGAAATAGGTATCGAATGACAGCTAGCGAGCCATAGCGACTTGTGACAACATAAGAATCCCCTAGCTGATACTCCAATATGAGTTGGTGTGACTCCCTACGATTGTACGTCAATGGTCACCTGATCTCACACCTGTTTTTACCGTATCCTTCCTTCTTTTGCTCCCCATACGGAAAGTGTCGACTTAAAAAAGCTTAAAAATATAGTATTCGATGGCCTATCCTAATGTTGTGCACAATGCTCTCGTTGAATTTTGTTTAAATTATTATAGCCTAACCTAGTCTAGAGGCTATAAATAAAAAGCAGAAAAATATAATAACAAAAGTTTTATTTAACAGAAAATTTACTAGTACAACTTCATAATTTAGGTTCTACGTTCGGGTTTTGCAAAATAATGGGATGGTATCCTTTTTTGTTCAACAAATTGTGAAAATTCGTAAGGCAAACAAAGTCGATTGGGTATATCAGTTTCACCCTTACATCTGGGGCATGTATACTTAATGGGGATTGGAATTGTAAACAGTATCAAGTCTATCAACGTAATGCTTCATTTCAATGAGAAAGTCTCCTGTTATACAAGTTTGAAGTTTGATAATTATTACTAATGCGGCATGTTTCGAATAGACTCCTGTGATAACACTTGGTACTTTGGGAGACTTGGGTAGCATTCGAATACTAGCTATTTTGAATCCTATTCGAATCCTGTATTGGAATCCTACGGAAAGAGACCCGACGTCGGTTGAATCAGAAGAAAGTATAGTGCAACTTTGTGCTCATTATTATGCTGCATTGATATTTCAAAAATTCCGAGTGCTGTCCAGAGATATCAGGAAAACCTCGAAATTCGCCAGAAATGATTTTATTTTTCCAATACCGCTTGTCAATAATAGGCAATCCTCCTTACGCTTATAATCCTTGGTTTGTGTCAATATCGGCGCTTGTCAATAATGGGCACTCCTCTCGACGCTTATAATCCTTGGTTTGTGTCAATCAATAGCTGTCTTTCTCTGTTCCTTTACGTTACATCTTTCTTCTCTCTCGAGTAACGAAATTTGCCCGTGACGCGTTTTTCAAATCACTCTCCATTGTCGTCCAAATAGCAGAAAGCCGTTTAAGAAGTTTCTTTTCAAAAATTATTGAAATGAAAATAATCTTGATACAATTTTGGAACATAAATAAAAGTTGTATGATATTATGTTAAGTGTGTGCTGGCGCTATTTGACTGTGAGTTGGTGGTATACAGAGATCAATGGTGGCTTCATCTCTGTCATTCTCAGGAGAATAAAACATAGTTTATACTAAAGCTTATTTTTATTCTCAACAATCATTGCCAATATGGTTAATGGGACTGTGAGTGCGACTACCATCTAAATTGTATCAATATTCATAATCATAAAAATGAAATACGTCTTTATCGTCACCCTTGAATATATTTTTTTTTTCAATAGATAATGAGTATTTAAATAGAAACAGATCCCAAATTTCCGCATACTTTTTTCCTCAACCCATGTTATTTGTGGATGAAATGAATTAAAAATTCCACCACATTGATTGCAGATGTGCGGCAACTCCCATGACGTTACAGGTTATCCTGGTACTGGCAGATATGAATAAGCTTTTAGAGGGTTATGATCCTATTGATACTTATATTTAGAGCTTAAAGTTGTTGTAGTGTCCAGCCTGTAAGAGACATTGTTTAGTATATAACACTGCAATTGAAATGATACACACCGCTTTCTTTTTCCTGGAATTCTGTGAACTTTTTGTTCAGGATGCCTGAAAACCCAAATGACCAAATTTATTTCTGAGCAGGGGGTGGTAGTGGCAACCGGTATCTTTCTAGCACTTTACTGAGGCTATTTGGGCCCCTTATAGGCTACTTCCAGTTTCAACTTGAAAGTGGTTGTGTCATATTTTAGTCCTCTATTATGTTATTCCATAGTTACCGTGATTTGTTAAAGAAAAAACCAGTTCTAAAACCCCTTCTTCTCGTGTACGTGTACGCATGTTTGCTGAATTCGGTGGGTCGGTTGCTCAAGAATGTGCGAAGTTAGTTTTCTCATATCCTTGCGCTATTCAACTGTTTGCTCTAAATTATTTTTTTCGCATACGCATTTTCTGCTATCCTGGTAATTGTGTCCTCCGTCCGTCCTAATACTGGATAGGTATGCCACAGCTAATTTCAAAACGTGCTTCACGCTGATAGGGTCCTGCTTTGATGAAAGCCGCTATGTTTCGATTCGGTTCTTGAAAGATGTTTTGACAAGACTAACGTCTTCCTCCTGCTTCACCAGGTGTTGGCTCGGAGCTAGAGACACCGAAGATGACCAACCCATTGATTTATCGGTGCCTCCAAGTCGCAATCCTCACACCACCGGCATGTGGCTGATATTGAAGGTCCTGAAAATAATTAAATTAGATTTAAAAAATGCGATTAATGTCAACTTACCAGCAAAAGTCTAGCTTGCTTCATCATGGGGGCGGTGGGATCTCCAGCCTTTCGTTTGGAGGCTCTCTTGGAGCTGGGTGTTTTGATGGTGTTGGATAGCCCCCTCTGCTTTAAAAATCCCACCACACTGGTTACAGATCTTGGAAGATGATTAGCAATCCCATGACGTTTCAGGTTATCTCCTTCCTGGTGAACGATTTTGTACATAAAATTAAAAATTCGCTGTTTATGGAGGTTTGTTTTAAAATAAATGAAAAAATAAAACCAGTTTAAATTGGTTAAAGAACCTACCTAAATTTTAGAAAAAGAAATTTGAGTTTTGTGCAAATGTAAGTGTAAAAGTAAATTCAAGTTGCTCCGAAAAAAACTATTGGAATTAAATTAAAAAATAGGTACTCAGGGTTGTCTGTATTTTTAAAAAACAAACAATATGTTTATGTGTTAAGGAAAATAAAAATAATTCAATAATCGAGGTTTGTGTTAATTTAAAATATGTCTCAGGGCATGATTTATCCTACATCACTTAGATATTTAAAAATAGTACTTACAGTTTTTCGAAACCGACACTTATCGCACAAGAAACTAAACTTTGAAAATCCAGGTTCAAAGTACTGGTACTGGATGCTGCGTTTTTTGTACAAAGAATAAAAATTGAATCCTCATCTTTTACAGGTAACAATGTATCCACTGAAATTTTGTATTGCATAGGGTTATTGGCTCATAAAATGTTAACGATGCTAATTTAAATCTATTCTTTTAAATTTTGATAAATCGATTGAATTTGTCACCTTTTTTAAAATAAAAATGGACATATCAAATATCTAACTTAATAATTACGCCTTAAACTAAAAAATTATCTTTAAAATGTGTTGTTGTTTTTCTCGGGCGATTTCTGCGAACGGTCCTGATATAATTCAGATAAAAAAACTGCCGAATAAGCGTTTACATTTGACGGTGCTTTTGTATGTGATATCAAAGTTTAAATCGGATTTTATAATAACAAGCTTCTTTCAGTTTGCTCAAACTCGTCACCAGTGAAAAATATAAAATTATTGCACAACAATTATCATTTTAACCAAGTAAGTAAATATCTTATATACTAATATCAATCAACAACAAGACCTGTTTTTTATAGCAAAGGATTAAAAACACTGAGAAAATTACAAGACCTGAAGCCTGATATAGAGTGAAATTCCCAATATTTTGGCAGCGTTTTTTGTATGTGATTACTTCAAAGTTTAAATCGGATTTTATAATAACTAAGCTCTTTTAGTCTTGTTTGAAACTCGGTGAACTATAAAATTATTGCACAACAATTATCATTTTAACCAAGTAAGTGAATATCTTATATACCTACTAATATCGATACAATTATGAATATTTTAGATATGGATTTGAAATCAATCAACAAGACCTGTCTTTTTATAACAAAGGATCAAAAACGCTGAGAAAATTATAAGTCCTCGTAGAAAGTGAGTGTACCCAATATTTTCTACGATACAGACCTCAAAATAATTGCAAATCTTTACTGGAACCAGTAAACTATACAAATTAAGGTAGATCAACAGATGTCAAGCGAAGTTCGAATTAAAAGGGGTGCCCACAGTGTTGTATTCTTTCTCGTCACAGTGAGGATTATAAAATTATTGAGCAACAATTATTATTTTAACCTAGTAAGTAAATATCTTATATACTTAGGTAATCGATACAATTGTGGCATATTTTTAGCTATGGATTTGAAATACTCGTTGAATTTGACGACAACGCAGTGTTTCTCCCAAGACGTACCACCAAAATGATTAGATCATTAAGCAGTTTATTGATGGAAAATATTCGCTTTTTGAAATCGTTGTCTTAAAAAATGTATGTTTTTAATAAAAAAAAAAACGAGGCCCCTTCCCCATCAAATGTTGGTTCCAACCAAGGATAATACACACTACTACTACAGGATAGCCTATCCTCATAAGGCCTGTGTGGAACAAATCCACTCTCTCCCCAACGTTAAATCACCAGTTGTGACGTAAGCAGCATGTTATTTCTCGCCTTGACGTAGGTTGTTTAAACAGCTGATGGCTTAGTTATGGCGTCGTAAATGGTAACACACGAGGTCAATAAGCAATCCTGTAGGTGTGTATCATCCTTGAGCTCGAACACCCTCTACCAGGTACAACATGAAGCTAGCTGCTGGACCCTCATAGTTACGTCTCCACCACAGCATCCTGTTATAAGACACATCGAACTTGACACATGTACGCTAGATGGTGCCACGGACGTGACCCAGGTCGCTATGACGTCATCACAGAACCCGAACTTTGCACTATGTACTCTAAATGGCGCCACGGACGTGACCCAGGTCGCTATGACGTCATCACAGAACGCGAACCCTGAATCAAACTTTGCACTATGTACTCTAAATGACTCCACGGACGTGACCCAGGTCGCTATGACGTCATCACAGAACCATAATTAAATATACGTAGCGATTTCGAAACGACTCGGAACAATCCCTTCCACGCAAACTCCATATCACAGGAACCTGTAATTCCCCGAACCATTAATACATATACGTAGCGATTTCGAAACAACTCGGAACAATCCCTTCCACGCACACTCCATATTACAGGAACCTGTAATTGCAAGAATTCACCGCACTCACGACAGATGGCGCCATGAGGTTTGACAAGATGGCGCCGACGACGCATCCACCTTCGTGTCAACGACGGCGCATCCACCACGTGTCAAGAATGAAAGATTGAGGTTATGGTCGGATTTTGGTGCTAGAACCCGTGTTGCTGTACTACTGCGGAGGGTTGCTTCAATTATTATACATACGTATACATATATTTTTTCTCTTTGAGTTTCGTCTTTTTTAAGAGAAATTCATCAAAACACACCACTATTATTACGAGACTAAAGACGAAAGACGGAAACATTCTCAAAGCTAACAGAATACACGAAACAAAGAAAAGGCGAAACGTGTAGCTTTACTTGTATGTACATGGTATATGAGTAGTAATGGAGAAAACTATTTGTGTTTAGGTAAGAAATAAAAAATCAGTTTCAATTTCCTTTTAGGTCCGTCGAATGCTTTGGCGTTCTATTTAGCTCAAAGGGTCTATGATATTTGACTTTTAAATGCTAGTGCAAATAACCACTCTAGAAAACATCGATCGTTGAATCCAGATAGAGAAAGAAAAAAAATTTGAAATTTTATTTCACACTAGCCAATTGCCCACTGTGTTGCTAGCGTGGAAATAATACACTTTTTTTTGTTGATTTCTTAAAAGTTTTTAATTTTTTTTTTTAATTCGATATAAGAGGGGGCGGGGGTAATAATAGTTATTTATACACCAAGTGAGTTAAATGAATGTTTAACCCACGAGCCCTAGCGAGTGGGTTAATTTTCTTCGAATGAATAAACATTTTAACTCACGTGATGTATACAAAGTTTTATCCCATTTTGATGAACATTTAAAAAATTAAGTACTTCATAGAAATCAAATTATAAAAAGAATTCATTCAGCGAGCGCTAATGTCTAATACATATTGAAACTGGTAGTTGTTACGGTATAGCTACACCTTTTCCATGTGTAATTGCGAATATATCACTTAATTTTAGGAATAGTAAAATAATATTGCGAATAAATCAAATCTAATTGAGAATAGTCACTTGATATTGCGAATATATTAAATGTAATTGTGAAAAGTTAAATATAATTGCGAACACATCAAATTCAATTGAGAATAGTTAAGTGTAATTGCGAATATATCATATGTAATTGGGGATAATCAAATAAAATAAGTAATAAATCAGATGTAATTGAGCCATTTAATTTTTCAATCAACATCTGTGTTGTTGCTAAAATAACTACTGTTGTTGAAGAAAGCTTTTATTTACATACATTTAGGTACCTAGTTTTGTTTAAAAGAAAGGCGACACAAAAATGAAATTTCGCAATAATTGTGGTATATGCAGATCAACGATGACAAGAAAGAGTCGACAGAGAAAATATTTGATAATGTCTTGATTATATATGATTAATTCGCAATTACATTTGATATATTCCAAATTTCATTTGATTTTTCTCAATTGCATCTGATAAATTGTAGCATTTTATTTTGCCGATAAGTAGCAAATGCTACAAGGTTTATTATTTTCACTATGTTTGTTTTGGTTTTGTTTATCGTTTGTTTCTTGCCAAAACAAATCAACCGAATATTGGCATACTGATGACGTGTTCGATGGTCCTAGTTGCGAACTTTCCGTTCAAATTCATTATCCTTGGTTTCACCTGCCGACATCTGTGCGCGAAAAGCCTAAGGCCGGAGTTACCCAATTCCTTAATTCTTAATATTTGTCCTTAATTCTTAATTCTTAAAAAGTTCAATTTATTTAACATTGGTGTTTTTAAGGATTAAGAATTAAGAACAAAAATTAAGAATTAAGGACTTGGGTAACCCTGGCCTAAGTTTGATTTTTCTTCAATTACGACCTGGCTGTACTGGGTTGTCATATGACGTTGGTGAATTGACAGGTGGAAGTTTCTTGGGGTTTCATTAGAACCTTTCTGGCGGTCTTTGGTCGGCTGGCGTTTGAGGGGCGAAGATCCTGCTCCCTGAGCCTGTGCTAATTTGGTGGCCGATCCCGAATTTTCGTTGGAAAAATCCCGACAAGATTTCCCGCAACGAATCGGCCCTGGGTCCATTGACTGGCTCCAGTTATTTTCCTGGCCCGATGGTCTGCTGTTTGAGGAGGTTTAGTGGATTTTATTGAGGTAGGTCGTTTTTCAACATTACCTGTTGCACACCTGTAAATAGGAATTTTCATCCTTTTTTAGAATCCCTCTAAGGCTTGTTGGATTATGGAGATGTCAAGGACGTATCAGTTTTGTTAAATTTGGCTTGCTAAAGTGTCCTAAAGAGAGTCCTAAATTTGAGCCTAAGTTTGAGCTTAAATTTGAGCCTCAGTTTAAATCTAATCCTTGGATGATGTGGATTTTCACAAACTGTTTTGAAGATACTTACCTGGTGTTGGCATTGAAAGTTTAAGTTTGGGGTACCTACAATCGTTGAGGCCTTCAACGATATGGTTGTGATGTCACTGGAGTTTTGGGGATGAATTCCTAGGGTGGAATTTCACAAGTTGTGATGTTATGGAGTCTCCAGCTGGATTAAGGCTAGTGCACCATTTTTTATTATTTTAAATTCTTTTTATTATTTTTCAAACTTATTTAATCTTATACTAAGATTTAAATTGATCTGCAAAATATTATTATCACTATAAAAGTGGCCCTTGGATCTTAAAATAACCCCATAACAATTAATGCGGATTACCGTGAAAGGTTCTAGAATCAAATCACTTAGGTAGCCCCTGAATTAGGTTATTATTCATGTTTCCTTCTTTGGAATTAAGATCTCCAAGCGAAGCTTACATAATTCTTTAATAAATCCTAAAATGGGATACTGTAACTCCTAGTTATTTTTCCTCATTTTTTTTATTAAACCCTTTACATCATATTAATAATTATTGATTGGTCTTAATCAGATAATTGTCTTTTTATCGTTGGAGATTTCCATTAAATGTTATTTGTATTAAATATCTTTTGAGTTTTATTGTTGGAATTTAAGTTTTGGACAGTATAATTTCGTTTCAGCTAACAAAGAAGTCAAGTTAATAATTAGGTTTGATCTAAAGGTTTCTCTATTCGCCTAAAAAAATAGAGTGGCGTCCAAAAGGGTAAGTGAAGGAAAATCGGGCCAAACTATAACATTGGCTACCCACTGCCTCCGACAATTTGAGCTGCCGTTCGCATTGTTACTCTTTCTTTTTTCTTTTATTAATCAAGTAAATAAATATAGTAACAAATATATAGTAAGAAAGAGGTTACAATATTCCCAATTACACTTAACTTTTCTCAATTACATTTGATATATTCGCAATTACATTTAACTTCTCCCAATTACTATTCAATATAATCGCAATATCACTTGACTATTCGCAAAATCAATTGATGAATTCGCAATATAAATTGCTATATTCGCAATTACATGTGGAAAAGGTGTAGTTGTTTGTTTGTATTTGTAGCAGACTTTTGTACTGGCAGTGACTTAAAAGACCGAGAGTGAGTTAAAAATATTTTAAATCACTCAGGTGATAAACGTCTACTTACCTTTGTTATTATGCATTCAATAATGTCATTTTTAAACGTCAAAATGGGATAAAAATATTATAAAACTAGTTAACAAGTCGATAGCCGAGAATTACTTTTTAAAAAAACTTTATTATAACTTGCTAACAATATTTAGATAAAAATAAGAATACAATTATAAATTGAATGTTTTCAACTGACTGACTGTAAATCTAAGCTGAAAAGCTTTTATGACAATATAAAGTTGAAGTCAGCAGAAAAAGTGATTACTCGGTATCTTCTGGCCATTTAACTTCTCCGTCCTCAGATTCAACTATCGGCCTAGCCTGGAGAGTTGAACGTCCGTGTCCACTTCTTTTCTAGGGGTTGGTACTTTCTTCTTAAATTTTGGAACAATTTTCTTGTATGCCAAAATTATACAGCCAAGAATTCATAGGATGTATATTACTAAGGACCATATACTGGGATTTGTTTCAATTTGGCCAAATAGTAAATCCGGTTGAACTTCTAAAATCTCGTTCTGAAGTTTATGTAGCTCATCCAGCTTCAAGTCGTGTAAATGGGTACTTAAATTCAACGTAGGCAACAGAGTTGGCGTTTCTTGAATATCGGGAAGCAGTATAGGTTGACTGCTACTTCTGACTGATTTTTTAATGTTGGAGATCAGTTTCGATTTTATTTTGACTTGGCAACCTTCGTGAATACTGCATAGGTAAGTTCCAAAAATGCTTCTGGTTTCTTCCTGGTTATGTTACATTTGATTTGGATGGTTTCTTTGGATGGAGCGATCATTATCCATTGATTTGTGTCGGTTAGTCGGTTCGTAAGAGGCTGTGTAATTTTTACCTCTGTTTGTTTGCACATTGAAGTGTTTTTATCAGAGTTCATTAACCTGATGGCACAGGGCATGTCTTCTTGGATTTCTTGGAGATTTTCGTTTCCACATACGTAGTACTGAGGGATGACTCTTCGACATTCTTCTTCTTGATAGGCGTAATGCAATTGATTTTTTAGTAGAAATTTGTTTCGCGGTAAAACAACCTTAAACCGACTCTTATCAAAAATGGGTATTGAGTAAATGGACGGACGCCAACTCGGCACTTTATTGTACCTAGGTAAAATTTAAGCCCTTGACCGACCGGCCAACTGGACACCAAGACTAAATAGAGACCGGCCAATTCGACCCTTTACCTGGGCCAACTCGCCACTTTATTGAACTCGCCAACTGAAGGTTTCTAGAAAACGTTTGGGTGATAGAACTCACATAATAAATAATCTAAAAAAGCTTTATTTTAAATGAATAATTTTTCATAGTTATTTACATTACAAGTGTACAAGTGTACAATCGTACTCGGTTAATTCATTATTATCGAGTGCCAGGATTTTTTGATTT